GGTCATTCCTCAGACTCTTGATGAGCTGGCGTTTAAGGGATTTGCGCGCTGTGTCGTATGTGGCATCCGGAGGAAGGGCTCTGCGGGCGTCCAGCAGGGCACCAAAGTCGACGAAATCCATCGTTTGTGTTTTGAGCTTGAGGCAGGATCCGACGTTTTTATCGATATCCGCATAGCTTCCTTGATTTTCTTCCAGTGTTCATTGAGTCCTTCGACTGGTGGTTGAACTGACAGGCGATTGGAGAGCTCCGCTTCGAAAGCTGATTTGCATGAATCGCTGACACTGTATCGCGGATATCCGTTGTCGGTGGCTTTTTTGCTCGATTTGTGGGTAGCATACTAAAAGGCCAGACAGACGAGTGGAAACTGTTGGAGCAGAAACGAAGGCAGTCTATATAAGACTGTGATTAACAGGTGACACTACGACGTTGTAAATTGCGATCAATCAAACGTTTCCATGCAGCGAAATTGCGTGTCACATTCGCATCCAGACCGGTGATCACGCGGTAGCTCAAAGCTAAAGTGCCTGTTTCTGCTACCTCATCTTGCGTATACATGTTCATTTGTTACTGTGAGACAACGTACGTCGGTCGAACGAGCAGACGCTTGACTTAGACATTATTCGCTCGGTTATCAACGTTAATTACGAGCGCACTCTGTTCACACCTGGTTCAGTCAGGTCACTTAACTGACTTAACCAGGGCTGTTCATCTCCCCTTAAAGGTCAGTGAACAACAATCTAAGCAGAGTAAACAATACATCCGGGTCACAGAAAAGCAGTACGAATCTGCATTGAAAACCCACCATTGGGTGCGCAAAAACAATTTGTGAAGTCATTGTGTCTTTCATGGCCCCTCCTCCACCCACCCCATTTTCACTCGCCAATCTCAGTCTTCGTTGAATCCGGACTAGACATCATTCATATTCTTGCCAATTTACTTATTTTTTTTTTTCTTACGTACATTCTTCGCCTTCCCTTTTTATCTGAGTTAGATGAATTTTGATGTAAGAAGAAGAATCACTGTGTTTGTCGGCAGTCTGACAGGTCAAGTAACATCGTCAACTACAGTAACTAAGCGAGGCAGATCTATAATATTTACATCAGTTGTCCAAACCATTGATTGAAACATCGCTTATAGGGTTTCGAAATCATCATCATCAACTCATTCTTTATAGCGGAGAAATTCAAGAAGAAGAGCACAGTACTTCCTTTAGTCCACCCACCACTACTCAGTACGTTGGTTCAATTTTTATTAAAATTTTTATCGCGATGATCACTCGCGGGGCTAAACATCATGTTGACGAGGACCTAGTGCAATCTAAGCCCTGAGCCTCGAAGCAGCGAATCCTGGGTAAGCCCTTCCCCCCCCCCCCTTAGCATGTTGGACGCGAAATCAAGCGGACTACGGTGAAGCGGCTCATCACCAAAGTTAGATAGCGGCAGTGAGTACCATCTTTCGCATATCTGTTGTGATTTTTGGTACCACTAGTTAAAAGAACCCAGACAAATGTTCGTTGAGGAAAACGGATAAACGAGTTGTCTGAAGTAGCGAATACGAAGTAAACAGACAATCACCCATTCAAAGCATTCAGAACCTGGTGGGAGCAAACTCACGTCATCAGTTCCTCTACTTCCTTCTGGGACACTTCCTGTTTTGGTAGCATCATAACACGACACACTTGTGTGTCGAGTTGACGCAAAATCGACTCGAACGCGCGTCGTACCGGGACCAGATAGTTCTGAATTCCTAGGTTATGTCCCAGCGCATCGTTCAAATTGGTTCCGTGAAACGACCGTTTGATAACGGTCTGACGCAGTCCGCCAGCAGCTCCGGCAACACCGGAAGTGCCACCACCGATGCACTGTTGGGGCATTGGTGGGGCACCGGCTTTCTGCTGTAGACCGTAAGCAATGAGCAGAAACGCGCATAGGCCAATGTTCATTCTCTGAAAAAGGAATGTGAACGGGCATGTACGTACGAGTGGTGAGTGGATGGAGGGGAGCCCTTTTGTAAAAACATGAATGCATGATGGGTAAAAGGGGACAAGGCGTTGGAAAAATCCAAATCAGTGAGAGGATATCACAAGTATTGCAATCACACATTTTTTATTGAAAGCACGATGAATGAGTCGGTTCATTGATCGCTGCACTAGACTTTTTGCCAATCTCAAAGAAGAGAGACTGCAATTCACGTCACTCGTTCGGTGCTCAAGCGTATGTGAACAACGTCATTCAATTCACATGAGCTTGCAATAAACTTGTGTGCCTTTGATCAAATGGAATAAATGTTATCACTGGATAGTGAAAAACTCGAGTGGTTCCGGTCAGTGCCAGTGGCGCACAACAATCCATAAGGCATTAAGTTTGTAAGCTACCAACGCCATCCCACTGTGGTGACAGACAGCTTTGGTGTCATCTAGTCCAATACCAGGGCTATCCTTTTGAGCCCTTGTGTGATGCACCAAATCAAGTCTCCGAGCTTGTTTCGTCGGTTTCCGTGAACAGTCGGATTTTTATGACTAAAAGGGTTTATCGGCTCCATCATTCATTGAAATACGGTGTGAAATAAAAATCAATTTGCTCAGAAATTATCATCTCGTAACTTGTGGCGATTGATTCCCTTGCTGCACTCTCCGAAACTGTCAGCATACAATCACCAACCATGGTACGGAAACACAAAATGTGCTCTGATCCCCTAATACTTACTAACTTATCGAACATTTTGAGAATTTCTGATTGGTATTGGCTTCGGTAATCACTATTCTAAGAATGACCACGGTGATGTTCCCATTGTGAACCTGAATCGAGAAATGCGACAATGGCAATACGAGTGTTCGAAGCAATTTTGCATGTACTACCTGTGAATGTCATACGTTAACCTTAATTCACCCGGTTTACTTTCTGTGGTGGGAGTGTTTAACTAATACTACATGACTTCAGCAATAAAGATTATCAAATCTAGAGTCCATAGTCAGAAAAGTACGACTTTGAAAACATTCTAATTTTTGAATTTGTATTTTCTTATAAAATTCCGTAACTATTATGAAATTTATGGCATATTTCGACACATCTTGTCACATTATTTCTATTACAGTTGGTTTGATAGAGATATATCATTCTGCTCCGGATGTACGGCCAAAATGATCATTTTGATTGTTCAGTACCTGAAGATGCTTCTGTGGTAGTATCACAGAGATGGGACATGACCTGAAAGTGTTGAACAAACTGGATGTGGATCTGATCAACACTGATGCTTATATCGATCGAGCATGATCGATTGGTGTCCAAGTGTAACAGCTTGAGGTGTAACTTATGAGTTTCATTGTAGCATCAGGCTATGAAGATAAGCAATGGCTCAGATATCATGAAATGATACTCAGTCAATTTGAAATGATACCCGGACATGATGATATTCGGACAACTTGCTTTGCAAAAGGTATAGACGACAACTAAATGCAAAAACGAAATATGAAATTTCATCAATTTCATTTAAAGGCAACTATACCGAGAAAACAGAATTTTCATTGCGACAAAAGTATTGCATGTCCCCCCTCCCCCCCCCCCCCCCCCCCAACCTATGGACTTCAAACACCCAACTCCGATTAAAACTGGCGCGACAGACATCTCGAGTTTCTGTCCCGGCACGCCAACCGCCAATCGTATTGAGTCGACAAACCGGTGTAAGCTACGGTCATGTGAAATCTTGGCCATATGCTCATGCTGGTCTGAATGACCTTGAACGAACTGAGACATCCAGGAAGGTCAAAACCAGCCTCTGCCAACAATCACGCGTTGGAAGAGGATTCGCGATAACGAGAAATCCAGAATTGACGTCTTTCGTGAGATCGATGTCAGCACATCTGAGATGTAATAAAAATAAGTCTATAGAGTCACTATAGCACGACGTTTGAAGCGGAAACAACCAAAAAAACAGTGATAGACGGATTGAACACCGGAAAAAGCTCTCAGGGAAAGATAGCCAGACTGCTACGTATGGCCTCAAACTTTGTGAATCAAGTATCGGAGATCAAAAACGTGCTAGAGTTGAAAGGTTCGAACATTCAACCCGGTCCCTCGAATGGAATAAGAGAAAATAAAAAGACACGTTACTCTAATAAATGCACAAACAGAAAAATATTTATTTTGAACTGAAACTCATGTACCTAGGAAAAGTGGAATTTCGTCTATTTTAGGAAGGAAAAGATAGTTAACTTAGGTGGACCTGGTGCGTGGAACTGCTACTGGCATGAGCTATGGAAGGAGGATCGGTACGTCAGTAAGCGGATTCACGACAGAAACTCCATAATGGTAAGGGAAGGGGCTTATCAAGCAACGACGAAACGGAACTGGGTACATTACGTGGGGTGCCAGATTCTGATGTATACATTCGTATATAAAAGCGGCTCCTTGCGCTGGCAACGGCATCGAATAGACATCCTGAAACCGTTTTTCAGCATGATATCGCCGTAGTTCATTACTCGAATCTAACAAAATACCGGTTATTATGCTGCGGCATCCAAACAATAGTGTAGCCTGTCTGTAGCCCAGATCTGTATCCAAAAGAAAATAATTGGGCTATTCGTACCCGAAAGCTGTACCACCATTACAGAGTTTACACCAGAGAGTAGGAATTAAAAGAATCTTTGATTAGGAAGTGGAATAATGTCGACATATACATCATTCGAAAGCTTACACGAAGTAGCAAAGTGATTTACATAGGCAAAGTCCACAGGGGGTGCAATACTTTTCTTTTGAATAGAAAGTAGCTTTGATGAAATTTCGCATTTCGGTTTTTCATTTGTTTGCTGCTTAGATTCTCAAATGATCATGACGTGGAAGCGGAGATAATCCACGGGTGGGAATGGGATACTTTTATCGCGGGGTGTATGAATAGCGGTTTGATTGAAAACAACTAGACAGAGAACTGCACGTTTGAATCACAAGAAAATGTAAATCAAAACCCAGTGCGATACACAGCCCACTTGCCAAGGATACGACCGGTCTTTAACGTATGGACGAAAACGGCTGATCTTACTGTGATGGAAGGTAGTACAAAGAGAGTCCTGGTTAGCGACCGAAGCAAAAATGGGGCTCATCCGACCAGACGCGCAG